TAAAAAATTACACCTCCCTTTTACCAATCACGAGTGATATTAATTTTCACATGTGCTCTTTGACCTTCAGGTGCAACCTTAACAGTTCTATGACGTTTTCACCCCCTTCTTACATTTGCCTCTTTTCGGCTTTATTAAAGTCAAAACTTTTGCTGTACATAGTACATACTTTTGGTTTTGGTTGCTCTATACTTGTTAGGATTAGTACTAATTATGATTATAATACTAATTTTTAGTTCAAAAAATGTATATCATATATGATTCCTCCCCCCTGCTCTATTACTTTGTTAATTCTATAAAGAGTATTCATTGTGACGCGTTGTGTAACCCTATATGTAAACTTATATCAACAAACTTAGCAAGTTGTTAAAGTTCATATAACAACACGTTTTTTTTTAATGATCTAAACAGTTTTCTTATTAATGTGTATCACTAAATCTAAATATGTAACTGAATGTAGTTATGTAGGTCAAATGTTATATATACAAGTATTGACAAAATAGTTGAACCATGCATGAGTTAATATTATTCGATGGTATTGTAAAAGAAAACTTTTTTAGTTATGTTTCGAATATATTTGCTTTTTAACTTTTCTTGTTGTATAGGATGAAAACACATGCATGTATTTTAATTATTAAACAGTAAACGCAGAACACAACGCTTTCAGATATTTTTTGAAAAATATGGATTGGGAAAATGAAGATCTTTTGAACTTTTTAATATAATGAAATTAGCGTGGTTTTAATACAAAAGAATTGTGAAGATCAATAAGGGTGTGTAAACTATATGTGTCTGTGGTCCTTTATCGATTCAAGAGTTTGCTTCTTCTATTGTTAGAAATAAAAAGTTTTGAATTTTGGGTAATTGGCACGTTCATGTGCCAACCAGTTCACAGCTAATCCCCACTGCAGATAACTAATATTATTTCAGATGTGATGATTAAATTCTCTTTGCAAGAACTACGATGTACTTGTTGTTTCAGGATATCCGATAAAACTGGAACTAATATTGGTCCTGACCGTGCCCAACGATGACACGTATAAGATAAAATGGTCCAGTTTTGTTGTGTTTTCACAAAGAAAACGATTATGATATGAGAACAAATGTTGACTATTCGCTAGAATCCAATTTATGAAAATGAAAGAACGATGTTGTTGATGATCATACTAATCGTATTTTGATAATGGTGTGTTGAGTAATCAACGAGTGACATATACACCACTCTCTCTTGTTATATATATATACAGCAAAGTACACTTTATAGTTATTACTAATCGGACACAATATGAAGTTGTATGTCTATACTCGACAATAGGAGATTTATTTAGAAAATCGAAAGAAATGAGAGAAAAATAAAGGAGAGTCATTTGAGATAATATTATATAAGAAAATTCACTGCATCTCTTTCCGCACTAACCAAGTAACAAGTGGCAGATTATAAATGATAAAATAATAGAAAATAATCTTAGCATTGTATAAGAGTCGTAGAGAACAGTTTAACAAAAGATGGAGTTATCAAAATGTCAAAGATCTCTCTTTTGTTTTTATGACAGATTCAGGCTCAGTTTTTCAAAACCTAGTTAGTGTAATGTTACAGTTTCATCTTCGATTATGTATGTATTATCGCGTTGTCCATTCCAAAATAAAGTTCCGTTTGCAAAAATATTACTCTTTGTCTGTTAAAAATCTCAGAAGTTACCAAAAAATGGCTATTATGTATGCATGAACAATGGAACTTTCTGTTAAACAAATCATAGATGTGTTGCTATTATTAACAAATTTGGACACTTACTTTTGTTATGAAAACTAATTGGTAGCAAAAGTAAGAAGATCTTGTGGCGTATAATTATGGCTTTATCCATAGGTAGCATAGATAAAAATTATACGGTTTACGTTGTCAATGACTTCGATGTCGGTCGCATCTATAATATATCTTTTACGTACTATATATATGGACGGACCTACTACGTACGTCTCGTATTGAAAACTTTTCGTTTGCATTATTTTCTTATATTACTTTCGATATTTTTAATTGGAATAGGAATCCAAGCTACCCTATGATATACTCACACGTATATACCCTATATTTTTAAACGTCATTTGCTTTCCAAGCTTATAGAAGAAATATATTCTGTTTTCGGAATTTTCGGAATTTTAAATATAAATAAAACCAAATCCATACATTTTGCTTTTGCAAATCGATATATAATATATATATATATATATATATGTTTAAAACTTTAAAGATTATTATTTGTAGACAGATGCATTAATACTAAGAAATAAATACCGACATAGGATTTTGGATTTTGATAGTAGTATGTATCATGTAATTGATTTAACCATATCTAAAAACATACTTCATGTATTAATACTAGTAATAAACTATGATGATACTTATAAGTAAACTAACACATCAATCGCATTATTCCAATAAAACAGTACATCTACCACGCATACTCTCTCCTATACGAATAATAATATTAATCTATTTTTAGAGCAGCATTATTGGTGGGATCTTAGACCACCTCCAATGGTAAGCACCCATGATGGGTGTTTACCAATATTTTTATAAAAAATTGTGACAACTTGTAGTTTAAAGTGCTTATGATTTGCTTAAAACCTCAATTTAAGCAACAATGCTTAAGATTTTTAGATTGTTTTTGATTATATTTATTATATATAAAAATAAACAACCCATTAAACATTCATTAAACACCTCCATTGGAGATGCTCTTAGAGGTTAAGATCCCCGGTTTTTGCAAAAGAAAGATCTTATATAAGATTTTTCCTTTGCAAAAACCGGGGGATCTTACCCTCTAATATCCCACCAATAACGATGGTCTTAATGTGTGGCTCAAGCATATAGACTCCAAAGGCACTTTCACTGTTTCCAAATAATTAGCTTCCATTTCAGATAATTATCACAAAAATTAATCTTTCCAATGTTTGTGAAGTATACATGGGCAATTACATTTTTCGCCTTTATGTCCCTTGTAACATCACGATATTTGAAAGGATATTATGGTAAACATAAAGTATATCGCTGTTGCGTGGATGGAACGTCTATTTCCAAAAACGCCATACATTGTCCACCGACCACCGACCACCGACCTAAACTTTTTTTTTTATATAAATAAAATAAAAAAGATTGCTATTCTTATAACAAAAAATTTGGAGAGTTTATTATGACTAATGTCATTTGTTGTTTGCCATCATTTAGAAATTGTTCATAATTGGAAATTCTGATTACGACCCTTTTTTTTCAGCTGAACTGATGAGGTTGGATCACCTATTCACCACACACAGTTTGGAAATTTAATTATAAACACAGTTTAGGAAAATTTGGAGAGGAAAAGTAAAGTCTCTCAAACCGTGACCAAAAAAGATAGTGATGTGTTCATCATATATAGAGAATTCGAAATAACATCTACAAACTATCGTATTTGTAATCCCCCGAACTAATTAATTCCGGAAATATTCTTTTTTTTACAAAAAAAAAAAAAACATCTACAAACTACTAAATATCGTATTTGTAAAAATTTGTAGGTATAATATTTGTTTACAAAAATTTGTTGATAAAACTAGGTATACATTGATTGTTCAGATTATTAATATATAATTTATGCTACTTCATGCTAATCTATTCTTAAATTTCACAAGCGAGATAATAACTACTGTATATAACAATTTGAAATTTGATAGAACAAAATCGAATAATAATTGGATTAGTAAAAAAAATAAAAGGAAAGAAGAGAGCACAAAACATAGGAAATAAGGAAAGACAAAAGCTCCTAAGAAATCCCACTAACTTGTCCCCATAACACAAGGAGACACGCGTGTCATTACCGCCTCTTCCCTATATTATATAGTATAACTTTAATGCGACAAATGAAATATCAAAATACTTACAATAATCAGTAAAATTATTAATCGTATAATTGATTCAACATTTATGTAGTAGTATAAAGTTTTTTAAATACCTAAATCAAAAATTTAAAAATTAAATCCCATTTATTATTTGTTTCCCAAATTCCACAACAACGACCCATTTCCCTACGTCAATACTATTCCTGTTCCATGCAGTCAATAAATATCCTCTGTTTATTTTGTTTTTTCAATTTATTGAAGATTTGACAATTTTGAACGACGACGTACAATACACAAATATCTACTATATTAGTCAACTCAAACTGAATCGATGGTAGAATTTTATTTATAACCTAAGTTTTTATAACAAAGTTTGACGAGCGACATTTTATATAAACTTCAAACCAACAGAATATACATTGTGCTTCTTAGTTTCTCTTATATTCATATTCACATGTTTAAAGGAATGTATAATAACGCAGTGTTACATCTTTCTATCATGAAACGAGATCAAAGATCACAGTTTCATATCATAGGACAAATGGGGTAATATACTAAAATAAAAATTGACGTAATCGATGATGAAACATTTTATATTCAAAACTGATGAGGCGATAAAGCTTATACCGTATCGTTGATTAAAACTAAGAGTTTCACACTGTATTAAGATGCAATTGCTGTCCATATCTAGTTATTTTTCTTTACATGATCATTAAATTAACGTGTGCAATAACAATTTTTTAAGTATACCTAAATTAACAATAATGTTATGTACGTATACGTAGATTCCCAACGGGAAAATATATTAGAAGTTCACAGGTCAATACAAATAATTAAATTGTAGTTTGAGTGTTATTTATATTCAAATTTGATAACAAAATCATTTGCATTCGCATCCGTTTTTATATATTTTTATAGTAACCCTGAATATTAATTTTATAATTGTCCAATGGAAAGAGCCGACGAGCTTCATTAAAATAGTAATAAATATATAAGGTGCATGAGAGTATTTAACGCTAATATTTAAATACCGTCCAAATAATAATAAAAGACAGAAATATAAATAAGTAAAAGAGATATATCTATATATGCATATATAAATGTCAGGGAAGATGAGATTGTTGTCTCTGTCTTAGAATATATAGAGAGAGAAGAGAAAAACCTATTATAAAAAAAAAAAACCCAATATATATGAGAGAAAGTTATTAAGAGATTAGTGTCGGTGAATTTTTTGAAACTTCTCTTTTGCGGTTTCGTGTTCCTCTCATCTCTTCTTGGCCCACGTGTTCATCAATCTCCCTCTCCGCATGTAATCGCTTCGCCGTCAATTTCACATCTTCTTCTTCTTCTTCTTCTTCTTCTTCTTCTTCTTTTATCTCTAAAAATCTCTTCAGATCGAAAAAAAGATTGATTCTTTGGTGGTTTCTTGAATTCTCTGGCGAAAACCCATATGGAGACGGCGACGGAAGTAGCGACGGTTGTTTCTACTCCGGTTGTTACGGTTGCGGCGGCGGCGGCGACGACGACGAGGAAGAGAGAGAAGCCGTATAAAGGGATAAGGATGAGGAAGTGGGGGAAGTGGGTGGCGGAGATTAGAGAACCTAATAAACGGTCAAGAATCTGGCTTGGCTCTTACTCTACTCCTGAGGCGGCGGCGCGTGCTTACGACACGGCGGTGTTTTATCTCCGTGGTCCTTCCGCTCGGCTTAACTTCCCGGAGCTTTTAACAGGAGTTACGGTTTCAGGCGGCGGAGCAAACGGTGGCGGGGATATGTCGGCGGCGTATATAAGGAGAAAGGCGGCGGAGGTGGGAGCGCAAGTAGATGCGTTAGAAGCGGCGGGAGGAAACCGTCATCATCATCATCATCATCATCATCATCATAATCAACATCAGCGTGGTAATCATGATTATGGAGATAATCATAGTGATTATCGTATTAATGATGATCATATGGAGTGTACTAGTAAGGAAGAGTTTAAGAGGTGTAACAACGGGTCATGGGAACGGGTTGACTTGAACAAATTACCTGACCCGGAGACTTCTGAGGACGATTAGGAAAACAAATAAATATCGATTTGTTTTCACTTGCCTACTTTGTTCTTCTTCCTTCACCATCACCCCAAAGATAAGAAAAACAAAAAAAAGTTGTAGAAGGAAGATTAGAGAATGTCTTTGTTTTTTTTTACGATGTGTGAGGGGTTGCTAACATGCACCACCTCTCTTTGAGTTTGTGATTACTAATTTACTAGTACTAGTATAATGAGATATTTTTCCATAATTAGTATGTCAACCACTTGTTCTCAAACTTCAAGTTCTCGTACACAAAATCAAAGTGTTCAATGTTTGGTCGGGGTTCAAGGTTAAAACCATTATTAGTAGCTTGTTTTGTTGTTTAAAAAACTACATAGTTTGGTCAAATCGATACGTCTTCTTGACTTGATTTGGATGTAGTTTCTTTATAGTGTTAAAAGATCATCCAAAATACAAATTTTGCTTTGAAAAATGTTCGTTTTATTCAGTTTGATATTTTGATTAGTAAAGAACAAACGAATTAAAATGAAGTTGGGTTTGGGGTAGAGTAAGTATCAGTCGGGGATGTTGTAGATAAAATCTGGATGGGAACGCGGCGGTGAGTGAATAGCAGCAGAAACAGAAGACTATGGGATTAAGAAGTGAGAGTGTTAAGAGTTGGAGAGATGGGAGAGACAAAGAGTGTCCTACAAAACAAATATGGTAAGTGGGTCTTAACTGGTCCGATCGTAACAACTAAAGCTCTCTCTATCTCTATTATATATCCTAACTACTAAAGTCATCTCTTTTTTTTTCTTCTGTGTTTTCTAATCTGTTTTGTGGGGCAAAAGACAGCAAAAACTCACATATCAATCTTGCTCTCATTTCTAGTTTATTGGTCTTGTTTGAAAAGACTAGTCCCGGAACGTGTGTTTTCCTTCTACATTAGAAAGCTTTAACGTCAAAATTTGACAAACTTTTGTCTAGTTCACACAAATCCATTTTCCATAACTTTTTATTTTTTCTCAATCTCAGACCTAAGCTACTAACTGAAGATTCAGATTCAGCAGTGTGTTATTTTTTCCATCAGATCACCGAAATTAAAGGTCAATTGTTCTTGTGGTTTCCTTAGCCAGCTAATGATGAGCACGACCTTGCAACTAACTCATTTGCAACTTGTCATTATTATATGTTTCTTAATCGAGTAAAGCATGTTAAGTGATATAAATCTCATTCCTCGATCTAACGCTTCCATGTCAAGAAAAGATTCCAATTTCACAGATACGTTTGTACGGACGAAACCAACATAGGTTAAATGAAAGATATTTTTGGTTGAACCAATATTAATTTAATACCTTATAAAAATAGGTTGTTACCTTGGTGGTTAACCAAATGTAGAAAGTGGGAAACATTTTTTTCTAAATGAAATAAAAATTTCTAAAGCATAATTTGATGAGAATCAAATACCCAAAGCATCTGATAACCTAACCCATCAACCATACAGAGAAGCTGATTCTGCAGGATAATAAAGTCAGTAGTGCACTTACCACTTACTACCACTGTTTGCGACTGGTATTAGGTTATTTGATTCTTCTATAGTTAACTAGGCTTCACATTGATGTACAACCCTGGTCATAATAGAAGTCATGGCTCTTAATCATACATTGTACAATGTGGAGTACTCTGTTTTCTCACTTTTATTGATTGGAGAATGTTTGATCATTGCTTCCCTATTTTCTTGTTTGGTTTTATATCTTAATCAAGCATTTGTATCACCAGAGCGTTTTATTTGAAGCGCGGCTCTAACAACGTTTCCTCTTGTGATAATACCAACCTTTTTTGGAGGAGATATAAAAGGTTAAGCGATGACAAAGATGGTGTATTCAAACTTAAGTATGAGATGAAATAGGTAATATTAAAAAATTTCTCTTACCAATTTGCCATCAGAATCTACCACAGGGAGCCGGCGATATTTTGTCTCGAGCAATATTCTAGTGGAAAACAGAATATAAAGCTTATATTAGAGAAGAATGTAACTATCACACACTGAAATTAGATAGAGAAAAAATGATGGCACTGAAAAAAAGGAAAGACAATAACTTAGCAGCATCTTCGAGGTTAGTTTTTTCCTCAACAACTAGTGGAGCTGGTGTCATTAAATCTCCAACAAGCTTCCCATTGGTTTTGCTGAGTAGTTTTTGCACTGCATTGAAAGTCTGCAAGAAAAAATTATTGGATCAATATGATATGATACAAAAACAAGAGAAATTTATAAACAATTAAGTTTGAAACACTCATCATGTCTGATGGCAAAGAAAAACAAAAAAGACGATCCATCATGTCAGAACTCACAACTGAGTCCACTTTATAGTATTCCGTCTACTCAAAGCTAGGGATCTGAATGTAACACTAAAATAACTCTACCACATGTCATATATTGTAACTCTACCACATGTCATATATTGTAACTCTACCACATAACAATCACAAGATCTTACAACAGGTTACGGGTCACAGCAATTAGCTGAATTATTGTGCATGGTAATTGTGTAGATCAAAATAAGTTCCTCGCAACTTTCAATTCACACTAACTACTGCTGATAATGTGAACAAGGCAAATGAGCACAATGAGAAAGAATAAGAATGAGTGTTTTGAAAAGCATTCAAGTCAAAATGTTGGTAGGAAAAGGAAGGGCCACATACTTTCCAGGTGCTGTCAACCTCAGGGAACATTGCATTTTCTGTTCTTCCACTACCTATTAGCAACCAAAAAAACCAGCATTAAGATTTAAGGGGTAAGGGAAGAAGCTTTTTGATCATTTCACATTGAGCGTGCTATCTCGCAACGAATGAGACAGAAGGTCATCATAACATCGATATTTCTGGCTTTATACCACCATGTGATCAAGTAGCTTTCTTCTTTCTCCACTTCAAAGAGGAATCCTAATTAAAAAAGAAACTTGAAAGGAAAGGAAACCAAATACACTAAGTGGTGTAGCTGGCCCATTTACCACTTACCAGATATGGAGTCCAAAGCCAACAAGTCATAGTCTGAAACAAGCCCAACCTACAGCAACAAAGAATCCTTCAGAAGCATCCAACTCAAGTAAACCTCCATGAGTAGATTGAATTCAGTTCCATTCCCAAACATAACATCTAAACTTGAAAGTGGATACTAACCAATTTCCAATCGTTATCTATCACAGGAAATCCTGTAATTCTATTCTCCACAAGGAGTTCCAGAGCTGTAGAGAAGAGGGGAAAATAAAGATCATAAGTTTGAAATAAACGCAGCATCACATGTTTTAAGCAATCTGATGGACTTTAGAAGATAACAAACACCTACCTTCGTCCACAGTGGTCGTCGGTTTAACCACATGCAAGTCATCCTTCTTTGTCATGAATTCACCAACAGTGTACACTCCACCTCTTGGCTACAGTAATAGTCAAATACAAGCTCAGCTAAGAAACTCGAACTAATCCTCTAGTTATACGTATCAAACCCAAAATGCAGGAAATCAAAAGAACAAGGGTGAATCAAGTTTTCACCTAACAACAGGTGCTCAAATTCTCAAAATGTCACAATTACATTACTCAAGCCAATTTGCTTCAAATTCCACGATAAGATCGAATTCCGAATCCTCAGATGTGCAATTTCACCAGGTCCGATCTAAGTAGTAACTAGTATACAATTCAATCGTTACATAGAATCGGTAACAAGAACTCAATCACCTGATCTACTGAAATTATCAGAATCTAAGACGCCAGTGATCACACAACTCACATGCAAAACAAAATCCCCCACAAAGGAAAGAGTCATTTGGAACTGGAAATTGAAGTGAGCTTACCGAAGAGGAGTTCTTCATCAAGGTAGCTCCGGCGGCAGAAGAAGCTAAAGGAATCCGGGATTTGGAACGGGACCTGAAAGAGAAGGTGAATTGGTGGCATGATGGCTGAACAGTGAAAAATCTCGGCGGAAGAAGATACGGCGAAGAAGGAGAGGACGACGCGCGTAGGCGCGCGATGGAGAGTGGAGCAGCGTGGATGACGGCGTCCATTAGCCGCCGGAGAGTCGCCGGAAGTAACGAGCGAGTAGAGAGAAAGCGATGGGAGGAGATAGATAAATGCGTCACCGATCTAACTGCTTTGTTTGTATTGGGAAAAGCGAAGTGTGACTGTGACTTTTTAAAAACAAAATATTTATAAAAACATCATCCTTGTAATTCATGTTAACCGAACCGGATTAGATTTGACACCAAATTGAATTTTTAGTTCCCTTATACTGTATTTTTATAACTGGTTTCTAATCCAAACAGCAAAAGCCCAATGGGCCTGGTGACAAAAACAAAGAATAATTCTGATTTAAATACATTGATCTAATAATAAGTCGCTTAGTCCAGTTACACAAGCAGTATCAAATTGGTCGAGAATCTCGTGATCAAGGAGGATTTGAAATATTGGTGGTGGGAGTTTTACACCGCCACATAAATAGAGAGTCCAATTATTTTAGGTATATAAAAAAAAAATTCGTTTCTTCGAGAAAGAATAATGAAAATCTTTATTAAGTACAAACGAAACTTTGAATCTGATTCAACAATATAACTTTTATCAAAGCCTTTCATTGTACTCAAAGGAAATTGCCTTTAATGACGATCGACTCTCTCAATTTGTTTTTTTTTTTTTTTTTTAAATCGCTCAAGTTGTTCCATTTTATTTTTTGTTTTGCCCAAAGTTGTTATCTCTTTCCACGACATAAACGAAAGAAACTTAACCAAACTTATATATTATATTCAATTCATTTTGTTTTCACTACGTCAAAACTAGCAAAAACACATCGATACCATGAATTTGTGTACGTTGAAAATGTATATTTTTTTATAGTGGATGCAAGAAATCAACTGCAACACAGAGAAGCACAATATAGTACCAACATGTTACTTACTTGTAGCATACACAAAACTTTGATGGATCTGGACAATGAACGTCAATAAATTTTGGCATAGACGCATAGTTGTAAGTTTAAAACCTTTGTTTTATTCATTTATATATTGTAATTATTGATTAGAGTAAAGTCTTTCGACGTACGTTGTTTCGAATCATTTTGCATGTAAAAAAAATGGTCCTCTAAACAAGAAATGTGAAAATGAGCAATTTAATTGTATAAGAGAAAAGCTTTTAATTGTTTTTTTTTTGTTAACTAAGACCTTAATGAGATAATTAGTAATGTTTCTTCAGACTTAAAAACGTAACGGAAGAATCATTAATGATCTCTCTTTAACTAAGCCTCAGTTAGGCCCGACCTATAAGTCTCATCAATTTAAGGGTAGTAGTATGAATTTATTTATTTATTTTTTGTCTGAAACATCGAAACAAAATAAAAGCAAAACATAAAGTGGAAAACGGGAATGATTCCCATATTGATGAAAACTTGTAAAGTCGGAATAATTCGTTGGTCCCTCCATTAACTAACGTGAATTATTGCAATTGGCACCGTACTAAAATTTGGGTGTGTATATTAATATATATAGTACCCACTCAAAAGAAAAACAAGGTTAAAATTAAATTTAAAAAAAAAAAAAAAAAAAAAAAAAAAGTTAATTGTGTGTTGTGTCGTCGGTGTCGAAGGATGTTTGGGAAACCAAGTGGGGTTAATTTCAAAGATTTACAAAAATGGAAAGTCTTTGGACCGCAAAACGTATGGACATCGTACCTAAGTTCCTGACTCCTTTCTATATTTGTACATTAACGTGTTTCCCTTTGTCCCTCTTTTGTCGTCTTCCTTAGATTTTTTCGATCCTTATCAACAAATTGGGTTATATTAACCCTAAGTTTTAGTTCTGTCCCCAATCTAGTATTTTGTAAAATTTATCTAACCTCTTATAACAATAGAAAATTAAAGTATACTACTAGTTTGTACTTTGTAGTTACATAAACAGTTTTTTATCTTATGTATTAGACACGATATCATGGCTAAACGTTAAAATCAAACACATATCTGAAAATTAATCAGCTAACTGCTAACATAGTAACTTGTCTATGTTTTAGACACGAAATGTATATATAATTCATCAGCTTTGTAACTTGAAAAAAGGTTTTATTCTAATAAGATTTAATATATAAAATGTGTCTAATGGTAGTTTTTTCATATTGTATCATCCACACTAGTCGAGATGAATCCAGTACTAGTTAACACAAACTATTATATAAGTTTATAACCACATCGAAAAAAATTAAAAAAAAAAATTAAAAATCTTGAGGAGGAGTATCTCATCCACTATCAAGCTCGCTTCACATGGCCCCCACATCGAACGAATCATAAAATGGCACGTAAAACGAATTAAAAAGTGAATCCTACGAAAATAGTGAAAGGAGCATCACACATTATTAAATTTGGAATCCTAACAAGATTTGGACAACCTTACAAATCGAGATTCTATCGATACCGTCCGATGTTTTCCACGTTCGTGTTTTAATCTCGGACTTGATTGCGATTCCAAAAAAAACAAATAGTCATATATGTATATCTAAACAACCCTTTAAACAATACGCTACTTATTTTATGAGCCGTATCATACGAGCTTAGTTGTATATATTCGTATCTCAATAACATATTGTTTGATATTATATCGTTCATATTGTATGTCAGTGATGATTATGTCATTTTTTTTTTTTTTTTTTTTTTTTTTTTTTGGACAAAGATTATGTCATTTATACTATAATTCATGATATTTCCCAACAAGATCCATAGTACTGATTTGCTTTCAAAGTTCTAACTCGTAAATAAACAAGTATACTTGGATGCATCCTTAGTTAATACATGCAACAGTGTCTTTCTACGTGTCAAGTAGCTGAAAATTTGTATTTCACTCAATTTTGATGATATATATTAAAACAAAATCTTATCTTATAATTAAATTATTGAATTTAATGTTTACAAAAAGGAAATTGAATTTGTTTGTACTCTCGTCCACACTATGTGGACACATATAGGCAAGTAGATTGTGGTAGATATAGGCATTGATTCTTTTTATTATTTATGTTTAGGTTAATGAACAGTACTCTGCATTTTAACAACCATATATACATACATATGATAGACATATCACAGTGGCTTGTGGGGATGCTATCTTTATCCTTATATATAGATTTGTATAAAATGATATATACAGGTAACAATTGTACACTTACTTATTTTACAAAAACCAATAATATATACCTGTTTCTTTTTAGTACAATTTTGTCATATCATATATGTCGTATAACGAGGGAGTATATAAATGTCCGATAAACACAGCCAAAATTAGGAATCATATATATCTTTGGTTTTGTTTCTTATGTGAACACATATGATGATATGAAATTAATAGTCTCTCGTACAAGTGATACAAAATAAAATGAAATGGAAATTCACGAGAGGAGGGTAATTGAGAATAATAAAAATAATAGTATTTGTGGGCCTGTTTAAATTGGAAAGAGATATGAGACAGAGTATCTCTCTGTAAAGTGGGCCGTGGGCTTTAATAATTATTGACATACAAACGTATACATATATATATGTATACATGTTTTCTTGTATCTTATATAGTTGTTATATTATAGGAGGATGAGGCCAAATCAGATATATACAAAAATCAAGCTTATATATAAATATCACAAGGAAATGCCAAATAATATGAATCATAATAAAAGTAATATATATATATATATATATTATAAAATATATGTTGTGCATAGAGAGAGAGAGAGGGACATAGAGAGAGAAGAACAGTAGTTACCACTTGAGGAAAGCAACATGTTCAACGAAAGCCATTATTGGAATGTTTGTTATTGCATCCCACTCACTTACTTATATATATACACAACGTGTCTTGTAAAACAAAATGCTTTTTAAGAGCCTATGTATATTGTTAAACTAAAAATTATTACATTCATAGAAAACTCACCGAAGTTTTTAAAAATTGTTTCGATTTCCTCATTCGTTACTTAAAAAAGGAAAACAATAATGATAAGTATTAGATATAGTATCATATAACTCGGTGGTGGGAATGTAAATGTGAAAAAAATAACAAAGTGGGAAGTGACGTGGGCAACCTCAAAAGAATTTGATTTCGTATTTGTTGCCCTCTGGACCCAAAATTTTTAAAACACTAAATAAAACTGTATGTTTCCCTTTCCGACACAAAAAAAGTCCCTTCTACTTCATCTTCTCTTTTTTTTCTTTATTATTTTATATTCCCACATAATTTAATTTTTCTGATTATTTTTTTTTAAAACGGAAATATAGTTAATTTCAATATATAAGTTTTTTAAAAAATGATTGGGATGATGTAAAGGATGACGAATTTTCATACAAAAGAAAAAACAATATACGAATCTAACAATCCGATCTAATTTTTATATAAAAAAAAAAACAAAAAACAAAACTATGTGTAATGATAATAGTTGGCTCCAGCAATTTTGTAGTCAGAAACCAAACGCCATCTCGGGTCATAGAGACTGCGTAACACGCGCAGATATAAGGAGAGAAGAGAAGCGATGTTATAACAAGCGAGAGAGAGAGCGCGTGAGATGAAAAATACGAGGTAATAGAGTTTAAAATTCATTGGTGGATGAAAGAGGGAAAAAGTAGGACCCACACGAGGGTTTGTCCGTACTAATGGATTGATCTTTTCTGGTAACATTTTCCTTTTTCTCTCTTAATTCCTTTTTTCCTTTTTCTGATTTTTTTTTTTGTATTCAAAATAACAAAAAAAATATAAATTAATATTGGAGTAGTCATTTGTTTTGACGTTTACATCCTTGTAAACTTCATCGTATTTTCCGATTTAACCCCCACACTGATTTGATTATATATTATGGGCCACTTATCAACCCGATCAAAGCCCGAGTTAATAATCATATAACTTGTAAATACTATGGTTTGGTATCTATATTTCAAACTAAACTATATATATATAGTTCACTTAATTAGCCGAGTCAAATGTAAATCATGTTAAACCTGTAATCTGAAAGTTTTTTTTTTTGTTTTCTAAGATTGAATGGACCCGACAAATTGAATGGCTAACCTAAAGCAATCCATTGTATCATATTTGTTTTGCACCAAATTAGATGGTAATTAGCTTATGGAGCAATTTGTGTGTAAAACACGTGAGCTATTTC